TATCTATTTAGCCACCTTTGTTTGTCTTGTAGTCTATCCATCTTACTGTATTACTGTAATATATCTTTCCTTCCGAATTTAGAGCACAATGCACTTTACATACCAGGGGTGACATATCAAGAATTATTAATTCGGAGAGAAAGGGAGGCACAGACAAATGGGTAAGAGATAGACACGAAAAGAAAAAAGAGATATAACTAACGGAAAGTTCGACTTTAGTTTTGTTCCTCATACTCTACACCAATCATTCACTCACCCATCTTTACTCACCTCACTGTTTTCCCCAACCTATTTACGTACTCCTAACCCACGCAGATACTCCGAATCAGACTCAGCTTTCCCCACCGACTCATTTACTCCTAGCTTCTCCCATCTATCCCCAACCTCTTCGCCTATCCCCACTCCTTCCACCTATTCACCATGCATTAACCCCACCCCCCCACCACCAACGCCACCCAACTTTCTCCACTATCCTTTTTCCAACCCCACACCCGCGCCGGCCTCATCCACCTATTCCTAACACCCTCCCCACTCTACCCCTCTATCCCTGCCTACTCACCTATCCCAACCTCACCTACTGACACCCACCTACCCTGCTATTCCAATTCATCCTGTCTCCCTCTTCTTATTCACCTATCTCAGCCTCACCTATTTCTTCTCACCAGTCACACTCACCTACCCTACGCTAACCTAACCTCACGCACCCGTCCCCATCTACTCACCACCTCCAACCCACCCATTTATCCCCACCTACTCCCACCAAAACCAATCTATCCCCACCTACCCCAACCTCACCCATCTCTACCAACCTCACCTACCTACTCACCCACCTCACCTACCTACTCACCCACCTCACCTACCTACTCACCCACCTCATTCCTAACCCATCTATCCCCACCCCGCTTACCACTCCACACGTACTTAACCCCCACCCCCACCCCCTATCCATCCCCAGCGACCAACCTATCCCTTCCCCCTCACTTTTGTTTCCCCGACGCCACTTAATGGGTAAAAAAAAAAGGCGTGTTTCTGAAAATGTGTCCCGAGGTCCTTCTTCTTCATCATTTATGAAATCAGCCAAATTTAGTGCCATGTGGCTAAGGTAAGCCTGGTGGGTTGGTGGGTGGGTGAGTGGGTGGGTTGGTAGGGGGGTGGGGGGAGTCTGGGGTCCTTGTGCATTAGCAATATGGATATGATGTCTTCATGTACATTTGTATATATGTATGCATATGTACGCATTCACACGCACGCATGCACGGACAGGTGTATGTACCTCCACCCCCTTTTTTTCTGTCTGGCTCCCTTTTTTTGTCCATTTGTGTGTTTGTCTGTTTGTCACTCTGTCTGTCTATTTGTCTATTTCACCCTCTCTCTATATCTATCCCTCCCTCTCTCTCTCTCTCTCTCTCTCTCTCTCTCTCTCTCTCTCTCTCTCTCTCTCTCTCTCTCTCTCTCTCTCTCTCTCTCTCTCTCTCTCTCTCTCTCTCATTATATTTCCAAAGTCACATGTTAAAGATCCACCATTAAATCAACGTCATTAATAGGTGTAACGGCCATACGTGACTAAAACCACTCGTCTCGTGTAGTAATGGGCATTTAACACTCTCTTCGGGTTTATTTTATTCATTACCCCCTTTTTATGCTTCTAGATTCGAAAAGGCAAGAGAGTCTTTTTTTGGTTATTATTATTATTATTTTAATTATTCTTTTATTTTTGATGGGTGTGAGTGCGTGCATTTGTGTGTGTGTGTGTGTGTGTGTGTGTGTGTGTGTGTGTGTGTGTGTGTGTGTGTGTGTGTGTGTGTGTATGTGTTTTTGTGTGTGTATGAGTGTGTGAGTGTGTGAGTGAGTTAGTGAGTGAGTGTGTGAGTGTGCGTCGGAAATCCACGGCCATCACATGAGAGGAAGATGATATACGAAGAAAGAGGGGGGAGGAGGAGACGAAGTGAAGAAGGGGACGGGGAGGGGAAGAGGGGAGATGGGGAGATGGGGAAGTGGAGAAGGAAGGATGGGTGGGAGAGGAGTGGGGGGGGGGAAGAGAGGAACCGTGGCAAAGGTCCGTTTGATGATCGTCGTTGTTAGTTAAATATTTACTCCCCGCGGTGCGATCTGCGTGAAAGCTTACTAATGGATTAATGGATGAATTAGATAGACCAGCTGTGGCCCCGGATTAATGGGCTTTGCAATAAAGATTTTTCTGAATAATTTACTCAGGCTTGTTGCTGTTCATATTTTATCGTCGGAGCAGATGGTTCTCTCTCTCTCTCTCTCTCTCTCTCTCTCTCTCTCTCTCTCTCTCTCTCTCTCTCTCTCTCTCTCTCTCTCTCTCTCTCTCTCTCTCTCTCTCTCTCTCTCTCTCTCTTTCTCTCTCTGTATATATGTATATATATGTGTGAGTGTGTGTGTATAATTAGTGTCATTATGTGTGTGTTTATGCGTTTGTATGCGTATTGGTGGGTCTTTTCATTTGTTTCTTTATTTTATCGAATTGTATGTTTATTTATCGGTTTCTTGAGTTTATCCAATCAATCACCAGGAAATTAGATTGATAAGTTGTATCGAATCCTTTAATTCCATCCTCAGCCTCCCCAACTCCCTCCCCCCTACCCATCGACCCAACGTCATCATTGCACGGTTATGTGATCCCGCGATTTATGTTGCATTTTTTTCGTTATTGTAAAACGACTGATTCGTTAGCCTTGTCTCTTTTATGACGACTTAACGAATTAGGCTAATCACATTGTTGCATTCTTCCTCTAATTTGTTGCATTCTCAATGCTCTTAGTCAAACGAATTTATGTTTTTTCTCTCCCGAATTCATAATCTTTGTTGCATTTCCCTGTAATGCATTAGATTTTAAGTTTTTCGAAAATCTATCAAATTGTTGCATTTTCCCCTGGATTCGTCATAATGGTTGCATCTATCCAGTCTTCATTAAATTTTAGCGTCTCTCCGAAATCTGTTGCATTGTTGCGTTTCCCTAATTACTCAAGTGTTTTTTGTCTTTAGTGAATTCATAAAATTGATGTTGCTTCTTTCCCATAGTATTTTTTTCTTTTTCTTTATGATTGTTGACCCCTGTTGCATATCTTTTAGTATTCAGATTTTATGCGAGCTGCCCGACTTTGAACCAAAATGTTGCGTATATCGTATTTGAATTAGATTTTTTGTCTACCGAATTTAAACAAATTGAATTGTGAAAGTTGATTGTTGTATCAGTCGATTGGTTTTCATCTTTAATAATACGCTATTTACGCCTCTTTCGAAATTGAGTGACTCTTGCACCTGTTCCGAATAAATTGTTGTATGTTCCCCGATTTATTGATTTATTTTCTGGGGTGGTATGACTGTTCCACCTCTTCCGATTTAACTTTTTTCGGATTTTTCCAAGTTTATATTTTTTTGTTAGTGGATCTTCCCAATTCAAATATTATTTTCGCATTGCTGTTTCTTTCCTGTTTAACCAGATTTTTTTTTGTTTTTATTTTTGCTGGATATTTCTCGAGTTAGTCATTTGCGTATTAACTGATTTAATGACTTTTTATCGGATTGTTGCATTTTTTACCGGTTTAAACACATTTACTGGAACATTGCATCTTGCTTCTTTTATTGCTCGGAATGTTGCATATCTCTCGATTAAACCAGATTTTCCCCCCGGATTGTTGCACCTTTTCCTAATTAAGAAAATCCTTTTTCAACTCGAAAAAGCAAAAAGGTCGAAACGACGCATCAATGAAGTTCCGATTCGCTCGTAACTTTTGCGTGCGGGCGGTAAGGTCGCCGTGCCACTTGATATAGTAGGGATTATGACCTAATTGACACTGAGTGTGTTGGAAGGGCGTAGGGTAGGATGAGCAGGTGTAAAGGGTAAGGGGGGGTAGGACGAGAGGGTAGGGGTGTAGGGAAGAAGGATGAAGGGTGGAGATGGAGAGGGAGGAGGTGCGGGGGGGGGGGGTAAGGGAGAAGGGTGAAAGGGGGTAAGGGAGAGGGGGAGAGGTTGTGAGATAGGGAGAGGAAAGCTCGAGAGGGTGGAGGTGTGGGGGGGGGGGGTTAGGGAGAGGGGTAGAAGATAGAAAGGACTGAAATAAGGGGAGGAAAAGCTAGGAGGGTTTAGGGTAAGAGGAAAGAAGGGTTGGAATAGGGACTTAGGGTGAGGAGGAGGGATAAAGGTTGGAGATAGGACGGGGGAGAGAGGTGAGTAATTGGAGTAGGAGAGGGAGGGGATAAGGGGAAAGGGATATATGGCAGGGATAGAGGGAAGGGGTGTATGGTAGGGATAGAGGGATGGGATATATGACAGGGATAGAGGGAAGAGATATATGGCAGGGATAGATTGGAGAGACATATGACAGAGATAGAGGCGAGGGATATATGGCAGGGATAGTAGGAAGGGATATATGGCGGGGAATAGAGAGGAGGGTTATTTGGCAGGGATAGAGGGGAGGGGTATATGGCAGGGATAGAAGGAGGTGTATATGGCAGGGGTAGAGGAATGGGATATATGGCAGGGTTAGAGGGGAGGAATATATGATAGAGATAGAGGGGAGTGATAGGGGGAGGGGTATATGGCAGGGATATAGGGGAGAGATATATGGCACGGATAGCGGGGAGAAACTTATGGCAGGGATAGCGGGAGTGGTATATGGCAGGGATAGAGGGAAGAGACATATGGCTAGGATAGAGGGGAGGGATATATGGAAAAGGTAGAGGGAAGGGATATATGACAGTAATAAAGAAAAGGGGTGTATGCAGGGAGAAAGGGTGGGGTATATGGCAGAGATAGATGGAAGGGGTATGTGGCAAGGATAGAGGGGAGAAATATATGGCAGGGATAGCGGGAGGGGTATATGGCAGGGATAGAGAGGGATGTATGGCGGGCATAGAAGGGAGGGATGTATGGCAAGGATAGAGGGAAGGGGTATATGGTAGGGATAGAGGGGAGGGATATATGACAGGGATAGAGGGAAGGGGTATATTGCAGGGATAGAGGGAAGTGGTAT